CTAATTTCCACAGAGTCTGGGTAGAACTGTGACTTCGGAAAATGTAAAGAAGGCAGTAATGAAGAAATACAGTTCTTAACCCTAGATGCCACATTTTGTTGGCAAACAAAATTTTCTCTAAGGAAATGAATGAGGTGGGAGGAGAAGAGAGAGAAAAGCAAAAAGATGCTAACTTTCTATGACATTCATTATACTGAGAGTTAGTATGCCAAAATTAAATGAAATAATGGGCAAATAATAACAATTTGCAATCTGAGATAAAACTAGATTCCAAGTACAGTTTCACTAGATCCGTAATAAAATGGAAACTTGCATATCTTTGTAAGCTAAACTGCCTAAAATGTATTTGTGATTTTATCATGCTGATATCTGAAAATATACCAGATTCTTGGTGAGCATGATGATCACAGTCTACCATATTCTCATTAATGTAAACTGGATAACCTGAGTAATTTGAGGGGGCTTTTTTTCCCTAAACAATATATGCTGCTTTGAATGAGGAGTGCCTAAGAAGTTTTTAGAAATAACAACAGCAAGATCTTCACTGGAATCCTTTTCCTCTCTCCACAAAATCACAAACTCAGGACGGTCCTTGGAACCACAGTTACTCCAGTACACAGTGCAGCACCGAGAGAGTCAACACTCTCAGCAAGCAGAAATTATATGTATACACATTGATATGCATGTATATAGAGTGATATGCCCTCTCACTATCAGACATGTAGCTGTGCAGGTGCATTCACAAAGCAAGTATATTAAGTGAGTGCAGTTCACACAATGATGTTATCACTGTGCATACTTAAATAATTATTCTTCAAGATATACACAAGTTTATATACACACTTGTATGCAAGTCCAATTATTAGCTCACATATTTATTGATATACCATTCAATTTCCCCAGTTCAAACATGAAATACCATCAAAATGCTGTCAAATTGCACTATATATATATATGGAATGAGACAGAGCATCTGACTAATAAAAGGTACAAATATACAAACAAGCTCACATATAATTCCAACAGCACATTATTTTGCACATATGTTTGAATCTCCTATTTGCATTCAAGTGTACAGAGGAGAGAGACACATTAGGGGTTAATGCTTCCGGCTCTAGCCTCTACTCTCAGAGAAAGCCAATGTGAATTCAGGGCAGTGGGATTTAGAGGGAGACCGCCAGTGCTTGGGGGCATGGGTAGGCCACGTTTGTCCTTTAAATAGACACTGTTCTGAGATCTTTACCAATGGCTGAAGTCCAGAGATTTGTTAACACTGTTAATGGGAGTGATTGGGTTGGTCAAATAGCAAAACTTACGGTGAGTAATTCCTACACTCCAGGCACCTCCGCCCTTTCCAAAGAGCAGTAGGACTCACAGAATCCCCAGGGAACTGAAAACCAAGCAACACAGTGTGCAGAAAAGTGGGACTCCCTGGAAATCCCAGGTACAGAGATCAATGTCCAGGGAGCTTTCCTGTGAGGTGAGCTGCAGAATAAAGGCTTTCATGCTGTCTGCCAGGAAGATACACGGAGGTAAGCGTGCTGCCACTATCCACACGCTCTCCCTGCCAGTGGTTACATCTGAACCCTACCTGCTCTAAACCTTATTTTTAGGAGCCCCACTGTGAGAAAATTTCTCTAAAACTAGTATTTAACAAGATCTCAAACCATTTCACCCTTTATTTCTTGACTACTTTTAGCAGTTCAGATGAGTAATGGAAACAACTATATCTGCATGAGGAGTGGAAATACAGCGGTCCAGCAGAGCCCAGAGTTCAATCACTGGATTCAAATCCAGTATCATTTTTAAAGTGGAACTCTGCTTAGATGAGAACACAGTTCTTATAACTAAGTGTCCTCAAAAAAAAAAAAAGGTACATGGAGGGACTTTTTGCAAGCTAGATTTTTATTTTGAGGAAAATAAAAAATTGAAACAGAAAATTTAATTTTGATTAATGTTCCACCATAATTTGAAAAGCTGTCAATATGCACTATGCTGATAAGTGTTCTTGCTTTTGTAAAAGAGAAAAATGTATGTAATAGCAGGATAGAGTAGATAGAATAAGTAGGTATGCTGGGTTTTCTGTTTTGTGAGGCATATATTCTGAGGTCTAGCAGCTCTGGATTCTAAGAATGAAACTTTTCCTTGTGTTTGTACCAGTTTGGGGCAAAAAGGGAATGTATGTTGTTCTCTTTCCTATTGTGTAATGAATACACAGTTTCCTCTTTCCACACAAAAGCTAGCTAAAGAACTGTGATTTCCATGATGAAAGCTAATATGCTGGACAAAAATGGCCAAAGGTTGGTCAAACATTGGTCCACTAAGCATGGTTTATAGTTTTAAATCTGCACATGTCCAGTTCCCAGTCATAGGCAGAAAAGACAAAGGAATTTCTGACAGTGAAGACACTAGATTCCACAGGGCATCAGGGAAAGTGCAGAGAGTAAAAGGAAGCATCTGTCAAGGGCCCCACCTCCAATTTCAAATGTAGTTTTCATGTTCTCCCTAGTCTGCCCAAGAAAAGAAAGCAGAAAGCAGAAAATCACAGAAAGAAGAATGCATGAGAAAGATTGAGAGACGTACTTTAAGAAAGGAGTTCTGTCTTCTGAAAAAGCATTTGGAGATACATTATTGTGAAAGGATGACAAAAAATAGATTACAAAAACAGGTAATATAAGTTGAAATGTGGTTGAAAATGGAGCTCTACCCATAAAAACTGTAAGAAAACAATGGAGTCTTTCAAGAAGGCTCATGGGCAGAACCCGATAAAGATACCATCCCAGAGAAAGCACCACAGTCTCTCAGATGCCAGCATAGGATGTTGAAGTCTGATCCAGAGACTTCAGTCCAGAGAAGTAGCAGGGGTCCTGGGTCCAGAGGCACATCTATCTCTAATTCAGTGCATACTTTTGCATTCTTCTCCACATCCACCTTTGCTGTGATCAGGCGGTAATGGATACTTGAGCCAACCAGGTCGGGAATCCAATCGCTCACTCTAGCAAAGACTGCCTCACATGCTGGTAAGAGCCCTGGGCTTGGAGTTATGCACTCTTGCAATTATGTACTTTGTGACTGTGGACAAATAATGACTCTGACCACCTTTTCTTATTCACAAAGGAGAATATAGAGCTTTTGTGTAAGTTCTAAACAATAAAATTTGGGAGCCCATCACACTGTATCTCAAAAATAGCAATGTCCACATTCATCAGAGATCATTGCATGCATTGAAAAAGTAGAGCTGTAGTCAACACCTCTTCCTCTGCCTGATACAGGAATAAGGGGGCTCTCAGTATCCTTTGTCAAGTGGCCCTTAGCCTCAGTGACTGTGTCCCACCAGGTGAGGGTTACATGGAGGGGAACCGGGTAGGTAAATAGAAACACTCGGGTTCAAGTGGAGAATATAAAACTGTTTGGAAACATCAGGCCTGGGAATCTAGACAAAGCACAGACCTTGGGAAAGCAAATAACATGTGTTTATGAATTCTTACCATATTCTACACAGCAGTGGTGTTTTGAGGTTTTGTGACTTTTGTTTTGTTAGAAATATTATTTGGTAAGAATAGTAAAGATTCTGATACAGAGAAAGAATTACTGAATCTGGATCCCATTTCTCTCATATAACTATAAATATGTAGTCTATCAAGAATAGGCCAAAACTGTTTGGGGTCCTAATGAAATCTGTTTAAGGAGCCACTCAGTCTGGTAACATAAAACTCTTATTTCACAAAAGGAGTCTTGTGAACAGAGATCAGAAAGTATATTGCTCTTTCCTATATGATATGTTACAAAAAAGAAACAAAATCAAGGTTTTCAACCCAAGGCAAGGGGACAACTGAGTTTATATATGGAAAAACTACTGAACGAAAAAGGAAGTATAGACAGGATGACACACACAGAATACTGCCTGACAGCTGCTCAAACACTAGTGTGAAAAATGGGTATAACCATCTTGTGTGTATGGCACAAAATAAGGTTAAGATAGATAGCTCCATCATGACATTTTAGGATATTTTAAATCAGTTCTTTAGTCTATTTTCATGGGCTAATGATTTAATTTGTTATTTTTTAAACAAATATTTAGCAAGGTCTTCATCTGCACTCAGCAAAGAGGTGCTAGAAATAGCACAGTGTTTAATACTGACCCCATAAAGCTAACCATCTAGTCTAGGACATCCCTTGGTCAACTGTAGCCTGCAGGTCAAAAGCAGCTGTTGGTCTGTTTTTCTAAATAAAATTTTATTGGAACAAAGCCACAGACGTACATTTATGTAATAACTATGGCTGCTTTTGCACTACAGTCTCTTAATAAACTGGTTGCTTTGTGGCCCACAGAGTCTAAAATATTGTATTCATATTCTGACTTTGAAAAAAATGTTTCTACACCTCTAATATAGGAGGAGTATTACACTAAACATAATTTGTTTGAGTGCGAGTGTGCAGTTGTTCTTATCTTCATGCATAACCCCTCAAGAGAACCATTGTACTCTCAAAATCATTACATAAATTTCTAACTCAAAATCATTGCATAAATTTATATGGTATTTAGGATACACTGCTTTCCTATCCAGAAAAGTTGTCCAAATGATTTAACTGAGGAAAAAGTGGACCAATTTGGACAGTAAAACACATTTAAATATTTGGTAGTGAAAAAGAATTGAAGAGCATAAAATATGACACTTTTCATCATGATTATTTTCCCCTCCTTAACAGATTCTACTTTCAAGAAAGCTCTTATTACTTAAGAAACAAGTAAAATTGAAGCCACTGTTTTAACCCAGAGTGAATGACATCAATTTCAAACATAATAAGGAATAGCATTTAAAAATTTATTAATTACAGTAGTTGAAATTGTCCCATTTTATGAATGAGCTTAACTGCTTTATTATGCAATTGTGAAATCCAAAAGATCTTGTGAAATCCTAAAGATCTATAAACAATATCTCTCCTTTTGTTATAATCTACAAAAAGTAGATTACCTTCAGGACAAAGAACATATTATCCATGCACTGATGTTGGTTAGAGAGAACAACTCTTCTCATCCTGTGTCTTTTATCCTGCTTGGAATCCCAGGCCTGGAGAATTCCCAGTTTTGCATTGCCTTTCTGTTCTGTGTCATGTATGTTGTGGCTGTTGTTGGCAATATCACCATCCTACATATAATTCGAACTGATCACACACTGCATCAGCCCATGTACCTCTTTCTAGCCATGCTAGCAATCACTGACCTGGTCCTGTCCTCCTCCACCCAGCCTAAAATGCTGGCCATCCTCTGGTTTCAAGCTCATGAGATTGAATATCATGCCTGCCTCATCCAGGTGTTCTTCATCCATGCCTTTGCTTCTGTAGAGTCTGGGGTGCTCATGGCTATGGCCTTGGACCGCTATGTGGCCATCTGCTTCCCACTTCAACACTCCAGCATTCTGACCACAGCTGTGGTGGTAAAACTAGGGGTGGCTGTGGTGGTGCGAGGGCTGCTGTGGGTAAGCCCGTTCTGCTTCATGATCTCCAGGATGCCCTTCTGCCCCAACAGCATCATTCCCCAGTCATACTGTGAGCACATGGCTGTGCTGAAGTTGCTATGTGCTGACACCAGAGTCAACCGTGCGTACGGGCTCTTTGTAGCCTTCTCTGTGGTTGGCTTTGACATGTTGATCATCAGTATCTCCTATGTGATGATTTTGAGAGCTGTTCTGCAGTTGCCCTCAGGCGAAGCCCGCTTCAAGGCTTTTGGCACATGTGCTTCTCACATCTGTGTTATCCTGGCTTTCTACATCCCAGCCCTTTTTACCTTCCTCACCCATCGCTTTGGCCATCACGTGCCCCGAGTGGTACACATCATGTTTGCTAACGTCTACCTACTGGTGCCTCCCATGCTCAACCCCATCATCTATGGAGTTAGGACCAAGCAGATCAGGGACAGGGTTATGCAAGGGCGTTGTGGCAAAGATCTGTAAACCTGGAGCCAGAGACTCACAACAGTTCCAATTGCCAGATGACATGATGAAGACCGTTAGCCAGGATCTTACCGCACATCAGAAAGGCATTTCATTAACACGTATCCCAGAGGCCACAACCTACCGGAAGAAAGAGGAAAGACAATCATTCCAATCACTTGCTTGGTGTAATTAAGCAAGTGAATGATGTTCTAGATAATAAAAACTTGCTTAAAATTTGGATCTATGTCAGCCATCATGAGAAAGCAATCATTTTTCCATGTATTAAATCAGTGAATATTTAATGAGAATGTTGTTTTCTAAGATTGTTGTGAAAACATTATTTTTTATTTTATTTTGATCCAATAGGGTAAGTGTGTACATAACTAATTCATTTTTTAAATGAGAAATGCTTAATTTATGAATACTGTGCTCTACAGCAGTCTTATGTAGAAGTTTTAAAAATGAATAAACCACTTTAAAAGTTCTTTTGGATCTCTCACTTCACAGGGTTATAAGTTTATGGAGCTAACCTACATTGTTTATTTATTGACTCATCAGGCATAGTATGGCTCAAGCAGCAGCTACTGAGGGAACTAGCCCTCAGCCATCATCCTGTTTCTCAAAGTTTCTAGAAAGTACGCCGGTATTGCCCTAGATGCAGCAAAAGAGCAAGAAGGGCACTACAGAATCAGATGATCTGTGGTATGGTCCAAGCTTGGTAGAAAAGTACTTGGTAGAAAAGTACTAAGATTATGATAAGCATTATTGCCATCATTTAATTTTGTCTTCCTAGAATTTATTTTAACAATGAAAATTACTGTTTACAAAGATTTTAGAAATTAATTGAAGATTCTATCCTATATCTGTACGTCCAGAGCACCTGTCACTTTCATGTCCTGTGTAGTGGAAATCTCTACCCTATCCTGACTATACTTCTTCAGTAACGGTACATTACTCTTTAGCGATTCACGGAGATATTGGTTAATAATTCCTTCACACCACTCTTCATCAAACTACCCATTTGTCACTGTCAATGCAGTGTTAGCCTTTCTCTATTTGAGGTTAATTACTATCATGACCTATGTTCAAGAACTTACTACTTTTTAAAAGACTCATGTATCAATTAATTCTCCTTATTCCACATATTCAGTCTCTCACTATCTAGTGTACCTGTACTTCTATTGATAAATTTATCTATTTCTCTGAGACTTTTATGCTTTAAAAATTTTTAACACTACACAATACTTTAATCTTGGTTTATTTGTCACCTTGCCTTCATTCCCAATTTTCTGGAAATAAAATACACCCTATTGCTATTTCTTGCTTTGCTATTATTAGCTGAGTCACTGTGGCAAGTTGCAATTTTCCTCCTTCAAGTTCAACTGCTTTTTCAGAGTCACTAATATACTCTAAATTAAATTTTAATGTTTTAATCCTCCCTAGCCTTGACTGCTCAGTAAATTTGACCTGTTGTTCAGGTAAAACCCAGTCATGAGTTCACGTTCTCTGATTCTTATGGTTCCTGTAAAGCTGTCTGCTTTCATCATTTTTCTTTCTTTTTTTTAGAACCAGGAATCAAACTCAGGACCTTGTGCTTGCCAGGCAAGCACTCTGTAGCTGAGCTATCTCCTCGGCCCCTACTTTCATCATTTTTAATGAATATAGTTCTTTCCAAAATCTCCTACCAATTCTTCATTGACTTGTCTTATAAATCTACTCTCTGAGTCTGTTCACCCACACTGTTGGATTAAAGTGATACCCATGCAAAGATAACTTTCAAACCTATATTACTGGAAAATAAGAACATCTGTGCCTAAAAATTTATGTACAAATAGCCACTGCTGACTTATGTATGTCTTTGAGTTGATTTGTCTTGTTCATTGAACAACAATGTACATTCAAAATTGACTGCACTGATTTTTTAAAATTAATTTTCTTCATACATCTTTGATATACATAATAATCATATTCCTCACAGGGAATTTGTACCTGCACATAATATATCTGGATATTTTTTCCCAATTCCTCTTCCTTCCTTTCAACCTTCCTTCCCATTCCAACTTACAAAAGCTTTGTTGCTTGCTTTTTATTTTTTCTTCTATTCTTTTTTATTGTCCTTTTGCCTTCCTTCCATTCCTCATCCCTTAGTTCCCCTTCCCACTGCAAAATTTTCTTCTTACTTCTCAATATAAATTTTTCTTCACACTGATGGGGATTAAATGCTTATTAGTAAGAAAAATTATAATTAAAATGCAGTATTAACTAAACATACCTTCTCGGTTTCAGGGTAAAACACTTATATCTTTAGTTAATGTCCCTAACTAAGAATGCTAAATAAATACCAACTCAATAAACCTGTAGGTTTAACTCAAAGATAGAGACATTACGTATTTCACTGGAAACTCTCTTACTAAAATAAGTAAATATATTGTCTATGATATTATCACTTGTTTCTTCTACAGCATGTGAACATTTCAAAGACAAATCCAAGAGAACATGAAGATACTCAGCAACTTGACATCTAAATCTCCAACCTTCTTGCTGACTGCCATTCCTGGCTTCCAGTCTGCCCATGCCTGGATCTCTGTTCCGTTTTGTTGTCTTTATGCCGTTGCCCTCTCTGGGAACAGCATCATCCTCTTCATCATCGTCACCCAGCACAGCCTCCATGAGCCCATGTTCTATTTCCTCTCCATGCTGTCAGCCACAGATCTGGGCCTGACTCTTTCTACCATGTCTACAACTTTGGGTATTCTGTGGTTTGATGCAAGGAAAATCAGTCTAGATGCTTGCATCACGCAGATGTTTTTTCTTCATCAATTCACTGTAATGGAATCTGGGGGGCTAGTGATTATGGCTTTTGACCACTATGTGGCAATCTGTAACCCTCTCAGATACACTACAGATCTCCCTAGCTTCAGAACCATTCAGATGGGTCTCTTCATGATTTTACGTACTGTGACCACGCTAACACCACTGCTTTTGCTCTTTAAGGCTCTCTCTTTCTACAGAATGAATGTCCTTTCCCACTCACACTGCTATCATCCAGAGTGATTAAATTAGCATGTTCAGATACTCAGGCAAATAGCGTCTGTGGATTAGTTGATCTCTTCCTGACTACAGGAGTAGATATACCATGCATCACCCTGTCTTATATCTTGATTATTCACTTTAGGTCTTCAATATCACTTCTCCAGAAGAAAGATACAAGGTCTTCAGCACCTGTGTCTCCCACATTGGAGCAGTTGCTGTATTTTACATCCCATGATAAGCCTGTCTTTGATTTATTGCTATAGTTGGTCATTTCCCAAAGTGGTCCATTTGATAATGACCAATGTATGCCTGCTTTTGCTCCCTGCGCTCAACCCCATCATCTATAGTGTAAAAACAAGACATATCCACAAGGTTGTATTTACTGTGCTCCTTACAAAATAAGTAGAGATTATTAAGATTAGAGAAGTCAGTTGTAAGTTATTTTCATTGTAAAAAAAAGCAGTCCAGGGGCTGGGGATTTAGCTCAGCGGCAAAGCGTCTGCCTGGAAAGCACAAGGTCATGAGTTCGGTTCCCGGTACCAGAGAAAAACCAAAACCAAAAAAAAAAAGGCATTGAAAAAAGCAGTCCAGTAAATTATTGTCAATTGAATTTGTTCATTTATTTAATAATATTTAATAAATATGATTTTGTTTTCTGTCATAAGAGTATGATAATTTGAGAATTTTGACACCAAGTAAGGGAAATTTAACAGTAGTCAATAGATACTCTTTTAGGTCACAGCTAGCATGAAGCTTGCAATCTAGTAAGGAAAATTGTAATATTATACGTTTACTTAGCTTTTTTTTCCTGATACCAGGAATTGAACTCAGGACCTTGCACTTGCCAAGCAGGTGTTTGTGCTGCTGAGCTATATCTGCAGCCCCTGTAATTTTATAGTAATGAAGTGTTAAAATAATATTCATAGCAACTAACATTTCTCAGTTGCTTCACAGTAGATATACTAACTACTTTTAAAACATAATCTACATACAAATAAAATAAGCCCACTGAAATATATATCATTCATAATAATTGAAATATGTACTAGTGAAAAAGTGAGCTCTGGAGATATGTAGTTCACACAACATGAATCCTCATTGAAATTTTAATCCCAGATGTCTGTATCTCAGATGTCATCCATTCAAAAGTGTACTACACAATGCCAAAGCATCAAAAGTAAACCTGCATCTCTGGGAATCTACATCATGTCCTTAAAAGTGTGGTGGCCTCCTTAACATATACATTCACTTTCTTACTTATGAATAACCTCTAAAGCAAAATATAGAAATAGACTTCATGCCATGTAAGCATAAGTCACTATCCAGTGCTGTAGGAACAAAGGAAAATGTTCAGAAATTGGGTATATTTGCTTATTTAATATAATAAATGTGAACTTTGCAGAACTAGGCATGATTATGAAGTAAAATGCAAGGAAATTCTGAACAGAGGTTCTTGTGTTTTTTCTGTACAAAATACAGAAAAATTAGAAATTTAATTAAATCTATGTTCCCCTCTCCACAGAAAAATTAAAGATAAACACATGATTTTCCATAAAATTTCAGGTTTCAAGAATTCCATGAAAGACTGCCTGGCTCCCTTTCTCTATCAAACAAATAAGGTAAAGAATTGATGGTTCTCATTCTATAAGCAGTTACACAGATCAAGATCCCACATGCGCATTTCCTGAAAAGGGACTCGTGGTAACTATATTGATATCAGAGAAAGGCAAAAAGTATTTTTCAAAAATGAGTTGCATAAAATGATAGAAAAAGTTCAGAGGAAAATGGAGACAGAAGCCTGGTGGGAGTCATGGGAAAGTGGTGATAGATACAAGGGGTGCTCCAGGAATCCAACAAAAAGTGGGGACTGCAGTGTGCTGAACCCAGCACTGGATGTATCACCTTGCAAAGGCCATGTTGCATGCATCCCTTTAGACTTTGTGTTCAACGGTGTCAAATCAGTAACTAAGATGACCATAATCAGA